TTTAAAAACAAAATAATGTACCAATAAAAATATGTGTTATTTTCAGGAATTTGATTTCAAATTATATGATTGCGTTTGTAGTACTGTAGCTATCTGCAGTGGCGTAGCTAGAGGTTTTGGCGCCCGGGGGAAAGAGAGTAGAAAATTGCGCCGCCCCCCCCCCAATTATAATTATAATATTTTTAAATTAATTGATATTGGTTGTATAATCTTTAAGCTTATGCGTACTGTACGTCCATCGGGACGTCCATATAATACACTGTCTAAATAACATTATTTATACCCGAATAACTACCGTATTATTATTCTAGCTCTCGTATGTTCTTTCTTACTAGGAATGGGGCCAAGATTTGCCCGAGGGGGTCCAATGTTCGGGAATGTTCGAGGCGGCCGGGGCCCGTGCATCCCTTTGACCCTTTAAGGGCCCGTATCCAGGGGGTTTATGGTTCGGGAGGACTCCCTTTTGTAGCAAACGCCGCTGTTTAAAAAAAATAAATAAATAAATTTCCCAAATAAGTGCTCCCACCCAACGAATACGGTGCAGACTCACAGAGACGTTTTCAAACATATTTGGTTTTATAGCATTATTTAGACCAGTAAAGGACAAAAATCCTCTTTGTAGGGTGGGGTCCAGGCTTTTACGAGTTTGTATGAAAAGAGTAGGACTTACCTGTGAATTAATGTGGTCAGCACTGGAATGTAGTGAACAGTGGATTGGAATGTAGTTCGAGAATGAGGTTAGGAATGATAAAATTCAGTTCGAGAACACGGAGGTAATGTAGTTGTAGCATGTTTGCAGTAGAGAAATCTTACGGGACGGCCAGATATAGAACGATAGATATTGACTATCGGAAGTTATGGAAGTTATACTATTGGAAGTTACGGAAGTTATCAGATGTAGGATGAGGGTAATAGCTGTTATTTGTTATTGTTGTAGCATGAAGTTATGTGGAGTGAATTGATGGGCAAGCGATTATTGTTGCCTCTGGAAGTGGGGGTGAACGAAGCTGTTCTTGTCGTTTGTTGTTGGAAAAGACGAAAACGAGGTTGAAATTTCGAAAGATTGGTGTATTTTACGGCGCGGTCATGTATACGGAGACATATAAAGCGCTCTGATTGGCTAATGATAAGATGACATAATCGCACTTTTGTTGACAGTCGCTAGGTATCTCGCACGCTCGTCAGAGCAAGAGGTTAAAATGGTCAGAGCAATGTGGTTGCGATACACGCCAACAAAACAATCCATGCACATACAACGCGCCGAGTAAGCTAGATTTTTATACGTGTAACAGATTACAATATTGAGAACAGCACTTAGTAGGCTACCATATTCACCGCTGATCATACAACTCTAATACCCACTGCTACCAATTGGCCTAGAAAACACTGTTAGGGCCTACTATGAGTACAAACGAGGTCGTTTACATAGAGGGTCTAATAGTAGGCCTAGAGTCAGTAGGCCCTGGGATCACAGACTTTTAGGCAAGATATGTTATACTGTACCTTGTTTAAATAGCGATTTCGAATAGTTAACGCAACCTCCCCGACGAAAAATAGAAATTTTAGAAAAACATAAAAGTGTTACATATTTTTATTATGGCTGTCACTCCCCTGAAATATCCACAAATTAGATCAATTTAATGCATTTATCAATCTCATTACAACACTTGTTTTAATTCATATCAATGAAAATTTTATTTTCAATTTGTCCTTCACTTTGCTTTTGGCAAAATCATTTTGCTAAATAATTCTTCTACAAAAATAAGTTCACTAAACAAGGCACAGTATTATTATTCGAAAAGTCTTTCCTTTACTTACCTGTCTATATGTCTGTTAACAGTAGTCAACAGATATACAAATAGTGTATAGTGATAGTAAAGCTGTCAAAATTTAGTATTCACGACAGCAACAGTAATCTAATAATAATTATCAATAAAAGTTAGTGTATTGAACCACTTCAATTTATCTTTTCTTCCTCTGAATCTGTGCAGTATGAATATTATTTATTGATGGTGTCTATTTTTATTAAACATATAACGTATATTGTTGGTATTTGTATCTGTATTTTAAATGTATAAATCTAAGCTGGAAAATCAACTTTCTTCACTACTGTACAATATATATTGCTCTCTATTTTGTGCAATTACACTCGCACAAAATTGCACATCTGAAAAAAATTGAAGCAAGTAAATTATAAAATAGTCAATAATATTATTTCTGTTAAGTTATTTTTCTTTATTGTTCTCTTTTTTTCTCGAATTATAAATAATAAAACCAGCTTATAAATGATATAATAAAGTGTGAATTAACAGAGATAATTCACAGCTAATAAATTAAGGCAACCCTTAATTGTGTTTGTAAATATTAGCTAACAAATACAGATGTGTGACCATTAGTACAATCACAAACTTTATCTATTTTTAAAATAAATAATGCAATACCTATTTTTCCGAAGTGGTACTGTTTAAACTATTACTATTATTTGGCAAGAGTGTAATTTACATTTTTTGACTTAAAAGAATAAGTTTTTTCAAGGTTTTGGTTTTCTGTATACACTAGGTTATGGGAGACTTTCTTTTCGCTTTCAAGATGTACTCAGTACATTTTCAGTACAATGTTCTCTTCGCACAACCTTCCATTATCCAACTGTGTATTTCCTAAATGTTCTAAACTTATTTTGACATGTATAGACAACATCTGGCTTTTTACTTTGTATATTTGCTCATGTATTTTGGTTAGGCATTCATCTGGAATTGGCTGTGTTGAAGGTAGTGATGAGATGGTTGCTATTAGCAATGTCTATCAGTCAGCGTTCCATCCAGAAGCATCCCAAAAGGCCAAACTCCCACTGTGTGGTATCATTTCATAAACCTAAAAAAAAAAACCACCAGATTCAAGTATTTACTTGTGCTGTACTGTGCATCCACTTATTATGTCATGATATAACAACATCAGCAAGAAATTTTTTTATCAAAAAAACCTGGGTTGATACTTATTTGTAGGTTGGTTGATATGTAAAAATATTACTTTATTTATTCAAACATCACATCTCAAACAATAATATAAGGTGGCCAAAGACCACAATTGCATTTTACTTGGGTTACATAATATTCATTAAAAAAAGATTATAGGGGCCTATAATAAAAGACTAGACAGTTAAAATGTTGTAACATCATATAAAACTACAAAATAGAAAAATTAAAATGGTAACAAAAAAAAAACAAAAAAAATTACAACCAATAATTTAAGCATAATAAAGAAAGGGGGCATCTCACATTGCCAAGTTTGCTGTTAGTCAAGTATAACATTATAATTTTAAAATTATAATTATAATATTTTTAAGTATTGGAGAGCTGTAGACAATAGGCCTGGGTCTAAGCCCTAGTAGTAGTAAAGTTTGGTAGTAGGGTAGTTATTTATCGCTCTCACGCACCGTATCCGTATTCGAGTGCGAGTTGGTTGACTCTTGTGCCAACTTGTGCGATGATTTCATCTTATCATTAGCCAATCAGAGCGCTTTATATGTTTCCCTATGCTTGGCTCTTCACGAAAAAAAAAATCGCCAGCCGCATTGCTCTGACGAGTGTGCGAGATACCTAGCGACTGTCAAACAAAAGTGCGATTATGTCATCTTATCATTAGCCAATCAGAGCGCTTTATATGTCTCCGTATGCTTGGCTCTTCACGAAAAAAAAAATTCGCATCCGGCCCTCTTGATAAGATAAGATAAGATAAGATTTATTGGTTCTCTCTTTTATAACAGAGGAACACTCTCGCGCAGGAGAGGTTCGACCCGTAGGCCTACAACATTTACAAAACAACAACTGACAATATATAAAAATGAATTATTGAAAAGATAAATGAGCAAAGAAAAAACACTTAATGTACAAAAAAAAAAGGATAGAAAAAAAAATAGAGAATTCAATTACAGAATATAAAGTAAATAAATAAATAAATAAAAATGACAAAAATATAAGTTAATAAGTACAGTAAATAACATAAAAATTAAATATTGGTGGTAATGTTTTTCATTAGTTCAGTTCTTTCAGTCAATGCTTTTGTTAAATATGTTTTACAATGGTTATAAAATATCTTACAAATTTCATTATTCTGGTATGCATCAAAAATATTATCTAAAAGTAAGTGGTGCCTAAATTCACATGAACCTTCTAAGAAAATGTCCCAAAAGTACCTATTAATTTTACACAAGTTAGTTTTCAAATTCTCAAAACATGCATTTCTTATGGAGGATAGACCTTCACAATCAAATAGAAAATGGTCGACCGTTTCTAATTTTCTTTTTTTGCAAATAATACAATGGCCCGAGTGCGTATCTGACCATGCCCGTTTTCTGCCTTCAAGATCTAGAACATTAGTTCTAGCTTTAAACTTTAAATGTGTACCTTTAAAATTCAATTTGTCCAAAAGGTAGTATTCTAAATTTGGTATATTTTTGTATTTAATGTAATCCTTCAGTGATGATTTTTTAGTTGCTTTTTGAAATCATTCTTTATTATTGTTATCTGAGATCATATTACTAAAAGATTTTATCCACTGAGTATTTTGTGGTTCCATATTATATATATCATTAGATCATATTTGTCTAATAATGCTTTAATGTTATCGATCCATTTCCATCGTGCAAGTGATCTAACCTCCATAAGTTATTTACATAGTAGTCTAGGCAATCTATCCTCATCCATAGTTTTAAGCCTATCAAAATATTTTATTCTAAATTTGTTTTGAATCGTTTCCATAGATTGCCACCCTAAGTCACCAAGTAAAACTTCATTGGCAACATTCCTTGGTGCTTTCAGGATCATTTTAGCCATCTGATATTGCAGGTTTTCAACTTGGTTAACTGTTTACTGCCCGGGACCCAAACAGGACATGCATAGTTTATTGTATTGTACAATAATTCGCCATAGTATATCCTGTTGAAGTCTTCTTGGCCATCGATAATTGACTTGATATAGGCAATTACTTTATTTCCTTTTTTGATAACCTCTTCAATATGATCATTATCATTGTTTTTTCTTGATATAATTGTACCGAGATATTTGTATTTATCTGTTTCACTTATAAGGTTATTACCTATTACTATTGTGTGTATGTATGTGTATGTATGTATATGTATGTATATGCATATGTGTATATATATATATATTTATTTTGTGTTTATATTTTTGGATTTCTATATATTTTTAACTGGTGGCCACGGCTTAAAGTTTTATTCTCCTCCTTCCACACACTTATTCTGTAATGTACTATTATTCTTAGTTGGTTTTACTATTAAGCTTTTGTTATGTATGTTAATATGTTCATGTGTGTGGAGAAATAAATTAAACAAACAAACAAACAAACAAACCTAATTTCCATTTTCTCAGCTTATTTACTCTTTGGCCAACAATTAATACTTGTGATTTTTCTAAATTAAACTTAAGTTTCCAGAGTACTGAGAACTTTGCAGCTGCATCTAAGAGTAGTTCACAAGGTCATGTTCGTTTTCACCTATTAAAACAACATCATCGGCCCAAAATAAATTTCCAATTTGTGTGTTGGAAATATAAATTCCTAATTTTCTTTTTTTAATGATTTTGTTAAGTTCATTTATATATATATAGAAAATAAGATAGGTGAAAGTGGACAACCTTGCTTAACTCCTTCCTTAGTTTTAAAAACATCAGATTTAATATCATTAAAAATAACTTCTTTTCATTCTGAAACCTTCCTGTACCTCTGTTAAAATGTTTTGTTCTTCCAGAAAAGAGGATATATATATAAAGCAATAATTTTGTTGTAAATTTTAGCCACGCATGAATTAAGGGTAATGCCTTTATAATATTCAGATCATGTTTATTTCCTTTTTTATATAATGGGATAATAGTACCTTCATTCCACTTGTCAGGGGCAGACTCAATTACAACTAACCTAGAAAACAACTTAAATAGTGAAGAGGCCATACCATCTCCACCATTTTTTAATAATTTCATACGTAATTGAATCTACTCCTGGACTCTTATTGTTTTTAGAGTCAGAAATAGCAAAAATCTCATCTTCATATGATATATTTATCTTATCTAAATATACTAATGGGTTCTCTTGAGTAACATGTGACCGTTAAATATCTCAGTCTCTTCCCAAATTTCATTAATATTACCAAAATGCATCTTTAGTGCTTCTTTCATGATTACCGGATCTGAAGTTGTTGTATTAGTTCCAGGAATAATTAAGGAGTTAATTTTTCTAGGATGTTGTTTTCCTTTTAATTTTGTCCAAAAATATTTTGTTTGTGCCCCACCCTTTTCCATTATGTGGGAATATCTCTCAACTCGTTTTTATATAATTTTTTTGTTTAATTATACCTTTACAGTATTTGCGTTTATTTTGATACTCTTCCCACAGTGTTTGACAGTAATTTGCATTAAACTCTGGATTGTTTTTTGTCTTTAAATACTGACGGTGCCTTCTACATGCTAATTGCCGCTGTTCAATGGACTCTTCGATCTCTTTATCAAACCAAGCTTTATAATTAACTTTCTTTTTCTTTTGTCCTAATATATTTGTTGCTACACAAAGCACTATGTTTTTCCATTCTTCCCAAGCTTCGTTCGCATTTAATTCACTTGGTTCCCAATCCTTGAATGCCTCATGAATTTTGCCTTTAAATTCATTCCAATCTTGTGGAGCATTCCAAATTATTTTTTCAGATTTGATTTCATGGGTTGGATCAGAGAATTGGGGTATCTTAATTGTCAAAATTAGCAGATTATGGTCACTACCTAAATTAAATACAGTAGACCATACTCATCGATTAGGAACTCATGTATTGATTTGTACAGATTATCTGAAACTAGTACGTAATCAACAACACTTACTTGATCTTTGTGTGTTCTAGTGTATGTACCATTACATTTCTCACTACCATTTAGCATAATCAATTCACTATTCTCACAAAAATCGATAAGACTTTGACCATTAAAGTTAATGTCACCTACATGACCATTTCAAGCGCCCTGAGCATCTTACATTAGATGGATTTGTGTGCTATATAAAACTACATTATTATTATTATTATTATTATTATTATTATTATTATTATTATTATTATTATTATTAAAGTCCCCAAGAATGATAATTTTTGCATTTTCATCATTGTTTTGTAGAATTAATGTTTCTGTTAACATGGTAGTACGTAATTCTTCTGTAAGTTGTCGATTATATCCTTCACATGGGAAATAACAGATACCAATATTGTAAATATTATCAACATCATTGCCAAGCTGCACTTTTATCCAGAATCATTCTAAATTGTCACTTTGTGTATCCAAGAGGTTATCGTCTAGAATTTTAACATTTTCTTTATGATGAAGGCAACACCTCCTTGTGATTTTTTAAAATTTTTACTTCTATTTTTGCCAATCCAATTATATCCTTTAAAGTTCATAGAATCATTATTTTTTAAAAAGGTTTCCACTAAACCAAATATGCTGATAGTGTTCTTGTAAATAAATGATTCGATTTCTGCTTTTTTGCTTTTAATTCCTCTAATATTAATAAAGGCAAAATTTACTTGATTTTCAGCCCTTCTAGACTTCTTCCGTTTTAGTTTATGAACATTATTGTTAGTAGAATATTTAACTAAGTTTGAATTTTTGACATCCGGTTTATCTTTAGGAGAATTTTTTGAGATTCTTTCATATTTCATCGTAGTGTCATATTCATCATAAAGTATGTTATATATATTATTGTTAATATCATTTAAACTATTATAATTATTATTATCATAAGATATTTTACAAGACATATTAACATTCTCATTTATATACAAAAATTTACAAAACTGCAAATCCCTGTTTATTTCAGGTTCGGCATTTTCTTCATTGCCAATGGTGGGTATCTGCATAGTCCTTGATTTTGCTTGTGTCCCATTGCGTTACATGATCTACAGCGGAGAGGTTGTCCATGTCTAGAGTGCTTTGTTGCATGGTTATGTTCACCACAGTAGTAGCAGACTTTAACGTGCAAGTTCCAATTTGTATAGTGATGCTTCCTTGTTTCTTTATTAGTCACTGTGTTGTTCTCAGGCTTTCTTCTCTGATCACTAATTATCTTGTATACGTTGTTAATGTTGTTAATCAGTTTTCGTGTTCCGTATCTGGTAAGGTGAAGACCACTTGCTTTATCCCATTCGCTATTTGCAAATTTAAAGTTGCAGTCATTATCTACAATTTGGCATGCTTCCTTTTCTGCAATGCTCTTTAAGCTCTTGTTAAGGTTTTCTACTCTTGCCTGATGTTCATATTTGTCTACTCTTAGACAGATGTTCGATACAATTATTTTGGTAGCAGGTGCTTTAGCTTTGATTTCCCGTATCAGTGATTGATATTCTTGTGGTGCGCTGTTTACTTGTTGGTCATTAACACAATTATTTGTGCCACAATGCAATACGACAGCTTTATAATTATCCAAATTTTCAGTTTTTAGTGTGTCCTTTATATCATTGATTCTAGCTGCTGGCACTGAAGCAAGTAACTTTAGTTTGATCCAGGCCCTTCTCTGCAATATGCTTAATAATTGAGTCTCCAACTAAGAGTGTTTGCAATGGTTTCTTGTCACTAGGTGGTGCTGGTCTACCGTCCGACTGGTGATTAATGCTGTTGCTATTATTTTCTGTTGGCTTTGTCTGAGTTGCATTACGTAACATTTGTGCATTAACAGTGGCCATAAGCCACTTAGATAATCATTCTCCAGTCTAATTTGTCGGCGGCCACAATCAAGGTCATTGATAGAAGATTTCAAATCCGCAATTTTAGAAGGAAGTTTCTTATATATCGAGCAAAACCATATTGCAGGTCTTCTTCCAAATGTATTTACACCTACACATTCTGGGTGAAACTCGCATAGACATAGGGAGCATTCCAGCAATTTTCCATTAAATGTTTTCAGAGCACAAGTTGTGGCTACTGAAAGAGAGGCAGACTTGGGACTCATCGATGATACTGACTTAGATTTTGGAGATGAATTTGGAGTTGTAGGAGCCTTGCTCAATTTACGTTTACTGTTCGTCATAGTTGATATTAAATTATAGCAAATTTAACCACAAATAAAATTTACTGGCCTATCCAAAACAATGCAATGTGTTGATCAGATAACAAAGCCAAGCTTCTTTTAGAAGGCCAAGCTTCCTTTCCAAACAATGGTTGTTTATCAGGCTCTGATATTAAGCAGCAGTATCTCTGGCTTCAGTTCTAAAAATGAGGCTTCCAAAATGGTAGTTGGGCCTAGCTTTAAATAATGAAATACAGATTAACCAAACCTTCAATCCAGCTGAATTGTGTATCCTTCAAATCTGTAAAATACCTTCTTTAAAATGACATTGTTTTCACAGCCAAAACATACCTATATTTTGTCAAATTCAGAGATTTTAAGACCACTTTTTAAAGCACAAACCATGTGCATGGCTCTAACCATGTGCATGCTTCTTCTTGAGGAGTAAATTCCGTGTGCTGGGTTTGACTGTGTCAATAGGTCAGAGGATGCTGGTCGTTATAATTGTATACCGATTCGAATAAACTGGCCCGGACGTTGATTAGCATTAGCAAACCATTAAGGCAAATTTTTCAATCAGTTTTGTCTAGTTTACTGGTAATTATGATGATCTTTACAGCAATAACAAGGGACGGCCACAACAGCAATCTCCTTGTAAAATACCACTGTGTCAGTCGATTGTTATCCAACAAGTTAGGTCACGTGACGCCAATTGCCGATTCCCTCTATTGCCATACTTGAGAGGAGATGGCTCAGACCTATGAAGAACCTTTGTATGAGTGTTGTAGCTTTCAGCTATACATTTGTTTATATTTATTAGCAGATAATTATATAGTTTTTATAATATTTGTTAAATTTATGCCAGCAAATTTATAGATTTTTGTATTACTGTACTATAAATCAATTAATTTTTGCAATTTCATTTTAGCTGGGACTTTATCAAGTTGTCACTTGTGTGTGTTATACTGCAGTGTATATATTTTTAACACTTTTTACTAACATCATAATAAAATAGTGTGTTAGCTTTGGGAATTCCTTATAATTTTATTTAACAAATAATTATTAATAACTAATATACTTGAAATGGTGAACAACATTTATGGACAATATTTTAATCACATTTTTACCTAAAACTAAGTGCTCTTTATTTTATGCATGATGTAATAATATGTAGGCCTATTAAAAATAAAATGTCAAATTTTTTATACTGTTTTTGTGTATTTTTACTATTATACAACTACATGTAATGGCTTACACAAACGTAGTACTGCAATGGCTTGACCAATAAAAACAATTGCAATATTCAGTAGTACAGTATATTGCATGAATTAGTACAGCACTGTCCCCTGTAATTGGTTTGTACTATTAAAATATCAAATTTATATTCTGTTTTTTATATATTTTTACTACAATATTATACAACTACATGCACTGCCTTGCACAGAGTACTGCAGTGGCTTGACCAATAAAACCATTGTAATACAATATATTATGTTCTTTAATTAGTACTGTCTCCTGTGATTGGTTTGTTTCGATATAACACAAACTTGTTGCTATAGTGATGTAAATAAAGATGACCATTCAGATGCTATGTGTTCATGAGGTAGAAAATCTTGAGGAAGATCTTGGAATAGATGGAGTCTGTGGCTGTGAAAGGGGATGAAGAGAAACTAGTTACTGACGTCTGCCATCATCATCGCACAGCTATGCCCATATAGTCATCATGACCATATTTAGGCATGTGACATCACATTTGACAAAATATTTCCCAAAAGTAAATGACTTGAACTAGTAGTAATGAGTTTAAGGAAAGGCAGCTGAAATTAATTGAAATAAAGCCTTGTCCATTTTATTTGACAAACATAAGACATGCCTAAATACGGTCATAATAATAATAACAATAATAATAATAATTCTTTATTGGTCCTCATTCAAATTGGAAGTCGGAAATTCCAGCAAGGCCCCTAGGGACCCCCTGGCAACAGCTGCAATGTAGCGCCACCCAAACTCAACATAACAGACACAAACGGATACACACATTGTCGTTAACCGGCCTAACTCTCAATTATGAGGGTTATTCAAGAAGCCAAGTGTTCAGACTGCATTTAAAAACATTGTCCTTAACTGGTCCAACTCTCAATTATGAGGGTTATTTGATGAGTCAAGTGTTCTTACTACCAATTGAATTAAAACCCAACGCTGGCTGGGTTTGAACCGGGGTCTTAAGCACAAGAAGCAGGAACAATACCTCTCAGCCCATCATATGGTCATGATGACATCACATCATGACCATATATAGGAACATCATGACCATATATAGGCACATCTTCACCATATATAGGCACATCATGGCTGTATATAGGCACATCATGACCATATAATTATAGGCACATCATGACCATATAATTATAGGCACATCATGACCATATAATTATAGGCACATCTTCACCATATATGGGCATAAAAAGTTTTTTGTCAAAGAATATTTGATAATCTGATCAAGCTTCACACACAATATAACATCAAAATAAATAATTTGCGATAAAATTTATCAGAAGTTTAGAATATGTGACTCACAAATCAGGTGTGTCGTACATTCCCGGTGGAGCTGGATACAGAGCCTCGTAGGTACTCCCGACACCATGGATAGCGAAAGCATTGAATTTATGAGGGCCTGGAGGTATGTAGGTTAATGGAATAAAGGCCTGGCCTGTCCATGTGTTGTTGCTGTGTATCTCAGACGAAAAAGTCAGGGGTAGCTTGTCCTGTAGTGGTGAAGAAACGTTAAATTCTATATGAAATACTACAGTACTGTGAAATACAGGTGATAAGTTTAAGGTGATACTAAGGAGAATATCCATATTATTTGAGAAGGGTATTGTTTGGTTACCTTGATTACCTTTAACATTGATCTAAAATCATTTTCCAGAATGGTTAACAACTTATGCTACATTTACACTAGACACAATAACAACATGACAACACGTTAAAAATGCGCTCAGTAGGGAGTGTTTTATTTGTGCGACGACGAGATGCTAGAATAGAATCACTCGCGTGACTGCCCTACCAGGCATCTTACGTTCTCTGCATAGATTTGTCCAAATTGCGTCTTAGAATCCATGCTACAAGAGCTGAACATTCTTGCATGTGCCGATGACTTTTAGTGACGTCATTACTTTGTACGTCCCACCGTCATCGTGTAATCAAAAGCACCCTCTTGATGATGAATATAAATGACGTGATGATATGTCGTCGTGTCCAGTGTAAATATAGCTTTATTTATCAATGTACTGTACCTTCCATAAGCTGTGACACCCATTCAACATCAGAACCAAATAACATCCATGCCTACAACAGTAAGACAAATGCTTGTATCTTTTACAACTGTAAATAAAATTAAATACAGTAGAACCCCTCCTTTGGGACACTCCTATTTAGGGGACTGGGATACTTTCTGAGTGTGCCAAATGGTCAAATCAATACATATTTAACCCTATTAAAAGGGACTCTTTTTTTTTCTAAAAAAAAAAAAAGCAGTCTCAACATAAGACAAATTCATACAACTTTATATTTTGACACCTTTTGAGCAAATTACCAAACCAAAATTCTCTCCCTCGTATAAAATAATTTTAACCGTTAATCATGGGGATTTCGTATTTGTTTTTCATATACTTTCATATAGGATTATCATTCTAATCCATAACATTCACTCTTTTTTAAGTCGTTAATCTATTCATGCTACATGCATCCAATTGAAAGCTCAAAATATTTGGTCATTAACATATTGCATAATAAAATAATATTGGGAGCATATACAACTAAGTTTTAATAAAATTTATGCTGATTACATATATTTAGTGAATTGTAATGTATTAGCATTACAAATTATCACTATGAATTAATTCTAATTCTATTGATATCAATACAAAATTAGATTATAAAGAATGTATGTCATCATTGTATGAAACATCATGCCAAAAACCCCTATTAAGGGGATAATTTCACGACAATCGGGCTACTATTCATGGGCCACCCCTATTAAGGAGACAGTTTTTTTGGTCCCAAAGTTGTCCCCCGTAATAGGGGATAGGGGTTCTACTGTATTGAAGTTACTTGCTAGTAGTGCCATTACTACTACCACTACTACTACTACTACTACTACCACCACCACCACCACTACTACCACTACCACCACCACCACCATCACTACCACTACTACTACTACTTAAATTTAATACTGTATACTCGTATTATGGTCCACATAAGCAGTATGCTGGATTATGTTTTTTTAAATTGTGAACATTGTATCACAGGCATTATACATCCAATCAGTGGCTTGTCAGGGGGTGGGGTAAGAACCCACACCTTCCCATAAATAGTTTACATCTTCCCAACTTGAGTGAAAACTTGCTGAGCATATCACCTCATTCCCCCTATTAAATCTTTCCCACTTATAGATCTGTGTGTGTGTGTGTGTGTGAAATTTAACTACCAAAAATACCACCTTTGAAAAACTAACTAGTTTAATACCAGATTTATAATAAATTAGTAAACAACTACAGTTCATTACTTACAAAATTCATAAAACAAGTTAAAAAAAAAGTTTGATACTATTGTTCACCACCCCCATGTCAAAATAAATACAACTATCCCTAACTGAAACCTCTTTTGTACAATAACTTACGGGCTTAGTTCAACCTCCAAATATCGATCCTTTTCACCCAGAATAAATGCTTCAACAACTGAAAATAAAAAAAATGTGTTCAGGAAATTTGTTAAATAATAATTATACTAATATAAATAAGCATAAATCTTTAGTAAGATTCGTCTAATCAGAAATTGCATTTGATTTCATGGAGGAGATAAGAGAATTGGGAGATGATAGCATTTAGGAAGAGTAAAATGAAAGGGAAAGGGTGAGTATGGAATGAATATTATTTTGTAACAACAAAGCTTTCATTTCCATTGATTCCTGATGATATAATTAATGTTGAAATATTGAATCCCGACACGATGGCGTGCATTTCGATACTTTGAGTATGTGTTATACTATCTAAAGTTTTTCCTGAAAGAAATTTAATAACATATATTTTTGGTGCAATTGTATGCATGACAATCTAGATAGTTTATCCAGTGGCGTAACACTAGGGCCAAACTTGGGTCCTTTTTAGGTCCCGGAAGCCAATCCCATTTTGGAATTTTAGATGTGCTCGTTTTAAAATCATATTTGTCATTGTTTTCTAAATGTTGTAACGACCAAATAATGATATGATATCAGTGGTAGATTCAGGAATTTTAAAAAGTGGGCCCACAGTTGTGCCCCACTAGATCATGATATATAAACACCAAAAAAAAAACAAAAAAACACACTACTGCACTCTTCTGTTTGATATTCCACTGTGAAAGAGCCCCTCGTTACCGACTACTAACATGCATAGACCCCACTTTCTTGGCCCTGTGACTCATTGTTACGCCAGTGGTCCCTCTTGGAAATTCAATCAATACCTTCATCATCAGATATGCAAATTAGATACCTTCATAATCCCACAGCTGTTCCTGGGCCCCTCCCACTTTGAAACCAGGGGGTGCAGGATCATTGAAGAATGGTGCTTTCACCGTCAACTGCAAACTGTCTGGACTTTCGGCACCAACTGATAGACGTATTTGCACTGCATCATGGGAAACCGGTGTACCATCCCAGCAGTGCTTGATTTTAAATGATATGTCATTCATTATTCCTAATGAAAAAAATGATTAAAAATGTTATAGATATGGAAAAGAAGAGTGGGGAATGTGTAGGAGGGAGCCCTGGTAAAATTTTTGTTCCCCCTACCCCCTGCCAAAAATCAAATATATGTATTTAATTAAAACTAAAACAAAAATTATTTTTTATATAGCAAAAACAACAATTTGGGGAAAATATTGGGGAAACTAGTGAACACCTAATGACATTATGGTATCATCCAAAGATTTGTAAGATATTTCATCTGATGAGTGTCCCTGTTGGTATTCAAAAGGTTGGTAGCCAAAAGGGGTGGGGGAGTTCAGCTCCACCCGTGGCGGGACTGAGATGGGGTGGCCCTTCTCTAGTACAATTTATTAAGTTGATGGGAACAGTGGCGTATCTAGGGGATGCACATGTTCCCCAAAAATTTCTTGCGGGCCCCCTCACCCCCCAAAAAAAATCATGGTCAAGTAGTTAAAAATCACCCTATAGGCTATTTTGCGAATTAGCGCCCCTCAACTGATAATCAAGCCCCCACCCCCACTTGACCACACACTCCCACGCCCACATACTCCCACCCCCCCTCCATTTCAAGACTTCTAGATACGCCACTGGGCCTGGATGGGAAACAGATCTATCTATTCTTGTTAGTTACATTTGTATCCTTATACTAGGCCTAAATGATTGGTGGTGTCGATGATGAGAGCCGCCTAAGAAGGGGGTGGGGGCCTAGATCCCAGGCTTTTTTTTAAATTTTTATGAAACACAAAAATACGCAACACTTATCACTGCTTGTATGTGTACTGGTGTGTAGGCTAGGCTTACTAGAGGCATAATGGTTGTACTTAACAGTGAAAATCAGCGGCCATATCATGATCGTAAGCTAATGAACCATCTTTACAGCGTGAGCAGATAGACCAAACAGACAGTTAAAACTGCAAGAGGTCCGACTGCCGGGGATTCGTCGGAACGCAATCCTAAAGTCTAGTATCTTTGACTGTACTGTACTTCCAAGAAGGAGGGGCGTGGTCTTTGATCGTACGGAATGAGTTTCTAAATTATGTGTAGGGCGCCCCCTATTTTGTTCAGTACTTTGAACGTTCTTTCGTGCATACAAAATCAGAGCAGTCAGACCTCTTGCAGTTTTACTCTTTGAATAGACTAAGTCCTTTCCACTTCTAGGCCCTATGCGAGGGCGGGAAAATAATAATTAAAAAATAATATCATATTACGTCAGCATAAGCAGTATACTGCTTATTGGACATAATATGAGTAGGTCTATACTGTATATTTTTTCCGCCCTTACATAGTATGCTTATCTGGACTCTTGGTTGGAAAGCCGGGGTGGGGGGAAGGAGGGGGCAGAGGTTTCACGCACACATGTGAAGCTGTCACAATGCTGTAAACAAACACGACTATTTTATTTGTTCTAAAAAAAAGCCCAAGTAAGAAGAATTTGTATTATAGTGAGAGAGAGAGAAATATCGGCGATGTAAGTCCTTACTACCGACGTTTTACAATAAATTGCTAACTCGCCTAGCATATAGGCCCTATCTGCCCCGAAATTCCAATCGTCTCGTTGTCGGGTTTTTTTTTTTTTTTTTTTTTCGCTTTTTGTTTTGCGTAATTTGTAACCTTTGATATGATACTACTTTACTTTTGATGTAATGAGTTTTGTTCATTATTTGACCTTTTGTTATCATAAAATTTTTGTGAAAGTAACCAGTGTCTATTTGTATAGGCCTGTTTTCTGTGATAATTCAGTGTTTTAGGTCTACATCCTTTGTATGGGTCTTGTAATTTTTATTTTAATAGTTAACAAATTTAACAACTTAGTTTCACAATTCAGTTTCTCAACTGCAATGGACAACCTTATGTATATATTTTATATTGATGTGAATAAAGATACTACTGATATATAAACTTTTTTTTAATAGAACCAGTAAATTTATCCCAGGCTCCATCCGGTGTTCCTTTTTATTTATTTTTTAAATTTATTATTATTATTATTTCCAGCGATTGTGTATGCATACATCATTTTATCCTACTGTCCAGCGCTTTGATGAATAATGATTGTTATTAATATTATTGGGGGAAATTATATACTTCAGCAAGTTTATGTGTCGTTTCCTGATGGAACATTTTTAAAGACTTTTTTCTTTTTTAATAAATCCCGATATCGGGTATTTTACTATGCCTATAGTACCAGTATACGCAAAAATCACTCCAATCTTGGAGTTACAGAGCAACAACGTACCGTACGCGATTTTTTTCCCGTACGAAACATTTGCATGTTTACACCTCTGAGCCTCTATATTTATTGTCTACCGCCCTCTATAAAACTAATATACTGCATCACTGCATCTTGCACTGCATGCAAACAGCAGGTACGCCGCCGTACGTCGTGTGTTTGTGTCTGGAGAATTGGAATTGTTTGGAAGACAACAGGTTGATGTTTTCTTCTGATGTATTGTTGTAAATGGTGAAATTTCGACGAAGGATTTAATACATTTTTAGGAATGGTTTTCACCTTCATTTGCTAGGTTAGTATGAAAGAGTTACTATTTAGCTGTTTTAATAGCATATCATTATGAAGCTGAAGTAATTTTGTATTGATGAAATAAATTGTATCAATTATCAAAAGGTTTGATGAATGTACTGTAAGTGCCCAGCGCTTTACTGGAGTGTGTGGTTGGGGATTCTCTCAGCCCGGGTAATATGCATTGTCGGAGGTGATGAATAGCTTTAGGGATGCTCAAATTCTAAAACTAGGCTAGTTAAACAATTCTAGTGTAGGCTGCAATTTACTGGCGAAGGGAACACCAAATCAAGATTCTATTATTATTAATAATTAGTAGATTGTTTTATATGCAACCAACAGGTTGTTTTATATGGTAACATCATGCAACCAACAGGTTTTTTTTTTTATATAATAACATCATGCAACCAACAGGTTTTTGATGATATTTTTATGCCATCTTCCAGATCTCCCTTCTGTTTTTAGGAACATCAATTACGAATTTCGAAAACAAATTTGAAAAATCCAGCAAAGATGAAACATGCCAAACGAAAACTTTAACAATTGTAGAATTATCACCTTTTCCCCCCCCCCCCTTTTTTTTTCTTGCGTGAATTTGTTAAATAAGTAATTTAAAGTTATATTTTCATTTCTATGGCTTTTACATAGTGATTTTGTGGGTGATAATATCCTTTAAAGCCCCATTCCCGGCAAAATTTCAGTTTTTAAGAAAAATCTAATTTTTGTATAATGTTATAAAGATTTATAATTTTATAATACGGAATTGCTAGTTTAAATGAATTTAGACATTCCTAAGAATGAAAAAAATGTAAAATAAGACTGAAATTTGATTTTTTGTGTTCCACACAAAAAATAAATGCGGATGAATTTATCATGTTGATTTTGCGATAGGTCGTGAGAAGAAATATCGTAGGCGCCGAAAACATTAGCCTATCCAATGCTGCTAGGCTAAGTCTAGCCTTACCTCGATTTAGGTTCCGTTATCACACATAAAAACGGCCGACATGATATTTTCCGTTGCTAGTATTGACACTTGTGAATATAATATTTCACAGGAATTATTTCAAATTTGTTAAAAAACTGATTCTGACTGAGATTTTGAAACAAACATTTCTCAGCCTAACCGAACGACCGTATTGTGCGAGATGCGAAGTACAAAAACTAATCTCATTAGAGAGGGCACACTTTATTGACTGTATAAAGTATAAATAAAAGCGAGAGTATTCCAGTGGATGCGATCTACAACCTCTGAATTTGCCTAGTAACGATGAATTCGTCGAGAAAATGATAATATTTTATGAGAAATAGTCTGTATTTCTCATTTTTTTTTATTCTTTTGCGTAAAACTAAAATTCATGCCAATATTTTTCCATGATTTATAATAATTGGAGTAATGCAAATGCATATTTTCTAAAAAAAGTCAGTTTTTAGTGAAATTTTGCCGGGAATGGGGCTTTAATCAATTCACAAAAGAATCAAGTGGGTGGTTCTTCCCGCTATCCCTCGCACATATAAAACGACAGACGTTTTAATCACTTTGGGTTCGATGGGTCGCGTCGGACTGCTTCACATATAATTTGGGTCGGTCGTGGGCTAAAAAGGTTGTGTAACAGGGCTCTACAGTATACAATATAATTTTCAGACTAAATCAGTGGCATATCTAGAAGTCTTGAAATGAGGGGCAGATGGGGGGGGGCTCTATGATCAGTTGAGGGGCGCTAATTCGCAAAATATTGTGATTTTTAACTACTTGACCACGATTGACCGAAAAAAGAAAACATTTTGCTATTTGTATGCTGTGTGTATAGCACCATTACTTTTATTCATCTCCCTCTAGTATGTGTTTGGAGCGAATTTTAAGAATAGTCATCTCTAAATCCCTTGAATTAGCACTTTCAGACTAAAAATTATTTTGTTAAACCTTTTATAAACCTTCTTCAATAGGGTCCAAGTTTTTGTTTTTTTTGCGACAGGGTCCTGTGTACCTTGGGACCCTCTCTGGTGCTGCCTCTGCTTCTCAGAGGGAGACAGATACATATGGCTGCTAGGCAAGGCACCAAATAGAGTACAAATTTGTCCTCAAAGTTTGCAAGTTGCTCCTTTTCTTCTACCTTCATATTGACCTACTTAGTTACCCTCTCATAGCTTGTTTCTCCATAGTGTACCTCCCACTGGCTCCTCTGAAACAGACCTACACTTTATCACTGAATTTTTGTGCTTTTGACTTTCATTCACAAACCAACCTATTTGTTTTATCTTGTATTTCACAAGTTACAATGACAGGCATTTAAAATATGTACAAATTTATGACCCATTTAATGCAATGATTTATGTTGATATTTCATGCATAAAATTAAGATAATAATAGAGACACTTCACACTATAGCTTGGTTCACGTCGAACTTTTATCTAGATATACATCCACTTAACTAGTTAAAAGTTCGACGTGAACCACTCAATTATAGCTAGTTAAAGGAATTAAGTCACTTAAGTTAAGTGACTTAACT